AGTCCTTGGGAAGGTGCAGATTCAGCTTACTTGGCTGGTTGGCGGAGGGCAGGTTGATAGGACCCGTGGCATTGGTGCTTCCACTCCGGCTAGTGTTTCCCATAGAAACATTACCGCCACTGTCATAATCACTGGGGTCTGACTCTTGAAGGGTGGTATCCTAAAACTATATATTGAGCTTGTGAGACCTCACTCGGATTACACAGTTCAGTTCTGGTCACTGTACCACAGAATGGATATAGAATTCCCAGAAAGATTTCAGGGGAGAATGACAAGACTAATCCAGGGCATTAGGAACCTTGAGTACAGACAAGTTAAAGCATCTTAATTTGCACTCCCTCGAGAGACGTAGTGAGGGGCGATACGATAGAGGCTTATAAATGGAAGTCAGGGCTAAACAAAGGTACTTAAACTATCCAACCAGGAGCGAACTCGTAGCAATTGTTTTAAATTACACAATTTTTCGTTTAGGAGCGATAGGTAAAAATTGGTTTGGAAATAGAGTAGTGGATGAATGGAACAAGTTACCAAACATCATCATTAACTCGAATACGCTGGATAGCTTCAAACATAGGTTGGATGGGTTTATGAGCGATAGGGGTTGGGTGTAAATTGGCCCAGTATGGGGCCAATAGGCCCGTTGCAGTTTTCTCCATTCTTATTCAAGTCTTACTTATATACTAATTTTTGTCATTGTTCGTCTAACTTAATATGATCAAATATATCATAAAACAAATTAAATAAAATTTTAAAATATATGTTCCTCATGGCTCACTCGATCTCTATTACAAGGTACTGTATAACCTTATTTCATGATGACCCTTCTCTTAAATGTGTTAGTATTTTTTATCTCACTTATCATCCACTAAGTAACACTTGATAGCTGACGTATTAAACTATGCTACATTATATAATTAGATTAATGCACATTTTGTTCAATAACTCATTATCGTGATATCACAAATATAAATATTTTAAAGTGGTTTTATTTAGGCTGCCAGTCTGAGCCGTCGTTCAGTTTTATTATACCTCTATCTATGCATACGACAAAACGGAACCAGTTCACTGCCACAACACGGCTTGATCATGTATCGTGTAGGATGATCTTGATAAACCTTATACTCGCACAATAAGAGCATCACCTGGCCAAGGACACACGTGCCAGGCCAGTTATCAATGTAGGATGATCATGCTAATGTCAGATTATATTTACTGTATGTGGTTAAGTAGGAAAGAAAATTATAATGTTAAGAAGACTATAGCCTTTATTAAAGGCAGGATATATTATAATAAATGGATGATCAAGTGTATTTTAAAAGAAAAGTCATCCAAATATTTCACTTACAAATATGTTAATATGTAATATTTATGTACGTATACAGTATATGTAAATTGTAACATTTTTAAATAAAAAAAATAACCACATGGGAATTACTCTGCCTCTGCTGGATATATATATATATATTATATATTATATATATATATATATATATATATATATATATATATATATATATATATATATATATATATATATATAAAATCACACGGGAAAATGGAAACAACGGAGTACCTTAGCTTCGTCTTTATTCAAGACCTCTGAAGATGTCTTGAATAAAGACGCTCCTAAGTTTATTTTTTGTGTGATTTTATCAAGATTTCTTGTGGTTACATGTATATATATATATATATATATATATATATATATATATATATATATATATGTGTGTGTGTGTGTGTGTATTATGTGTGGCCTAGAAACAGTGACCCATTGGAATTTTTAGACAAGCTTAATGATATTGTCCCAAGTATCACATTCAAAATCGAGAGAAATAAATGGATCCCTTCCATTCCTTGATATGCTTATCATGAGAAATGGCTAAAACTACAAATTTAAGGCACTGTATACAGAAAGCCCACACAGGTAGACAGTTTCATACACTTTTTATCGAATCACCTGGAGTCTACCAAAATGTCAGTTTTTTCTGCTATGTTCTTGAGATGTCTGCGTATTTGTGACGCTGAATTTATTGATGATGAATTGAAACACATTTGTTCCATTACACAAAAACTTGGGTACCCTTCTGTGTTTGTTGATCGTTGTTTTAAAAGGGCTAAAAAATCCTTTCAGTTCTCTCAAACCGGGCAAATTCCTACACTTAAGAATATTTTGACTGCCCTATCGTAATGAATTTGTCCCGTTAGTTCGGTCCCTCAAACTACTAAATATTAATGTTGTTTTCAAGTATGACTCAACCATTACCAATATGTTAATAAAAAATAGCCCAAGTATGAATGTAAATGGAAGTGTTTATTGTATTCCATGTAGCAAATGTAATGGTAATTATGTAGGTCAGACAGGAAAAACATTGCAGCTCAGAATCAGACAACATAAGTACAATATCAGAACAGCATCTGAAAGCAGTGCCCTGTTCGTTCATGTTAGGAATAATAATCATCCCATTGCTTGGGGAAAAAGCTTAGAAGTATTCAAATCATCTTGTGTCACAGAAAGATTTCTGGTTGAAGCTAGTTTGATTAAGGAATTAAAATCAATAAACCTTGGTGATGGTCAGTTCAAAACTGATAATATGTTGCATAAATTTATTTGTCAGTGGCCCAAGGTTAAAAATGCTTTGAAAACCTTGGATCATAATGTAGAATAGTTATTTAGTGGGTCCCATATTTTTGACCTGACCTGAGTAGTCACGTCGCCTCCCTTCTCTTAAGCTCCTCTACTTGTGTGTTGGTGTGGGGATTAGTGGATGACATCATTATGACCTGACCTCATGTTTAATAAGATTACCCTGTATGTTTAAGCCTCTCTCTGTCCATGTAATCCAGTTGCCTCTGAAGATGTCTTGAATAAAGACAAAAGCTAAGGTGCTCCGTTGTTTCCCTTTTCCCGTGTGATTTTATCAAGATATTATATATATATATATATATATATATATATATATATATATATATATATATATATATATATATATATATATATATATATTCTTGTACTTATATTTGTGAATAAATAATCAGAATACCAGGGCAGGCTAGAACACTCCAACCCGACCTCTACATTAGAAAATTCCTTTATATTCAAATAATAAAAACGTCCACAAATTTTTCCTGGGGGAGGAGGCAGGGCAGACAAAATAAGGGATGGTGATGGTCACGCCTTCAAAATTATGGCATTGCAATTAAGAGGGCAGACAAATCCTCATAATCAGATAAATTTTTATTTATTTTTATAAATAAGAGCCTTCATTGTGATTTTGACCCTTCGTGTGTTGTATATTCCCGTGACCTGCGGACGCCCATGGACACACCCTTCAATTTTATCTTCTAACAGTTCAAAGTGAATGCATCTAGTTAAGGTGAAGTCTTATCGCTATTCTGATATGTACAGTATGTGCTTTAGCTCAAGCAGTCTTTATTTGAGGAATATTCATAGTACGCACCCTTGTGAATCCGTACTCTGGATGCTTCTCCAAGCACACTAGCAATTTACCCTTGAAGTGGCTAACTGTATAATCATGCTACCACTGAAGGTCGTAACCTAGTAGTGTTCACATTACACTAAGACGATGAAATTAACCTCAATTTCTACCAACATTAAATAAGATTTACCATTAGTTCCCCTAATATTTTCAGCCGGTCTCCAATAAATGTCAAAATGAAGAGTACGTACCAACATAAAATATAAATACCGAACAGCAAATTCTGAAGTCGCCACAAACTTTGAACTTTCATGCAGATCGAGCGTCCTCCTCCATCTACACACTCCAATTCTGACTCGTCTGCAACATGTATCAGCTGTTGGCCAACTCGATAGCATGACGCAACAGATGTGCAGCTTTACAGAGCGCGTGGGACGACATAACAACCACTCTCACTCTCTGCCACCCACTCGCCCAGTAGCATTTATTTCAATTATTCGTTCACGGTCATTCAACCAATTGATTCATTTTCTATTCCTAATGACAAATTAAACTAAAATATATGTAACTCCGAAATACTCCGAAAAAAGTTTCCCCAGGCATCAGATTACAGTACTTTACTACAAACGTCAAGTTTAAAAAGATTTGTGAGTGGTTTCCTCTCCACAAAACAGTAAAACATTATAATATACAATATAAATATTTGGCTATAAAACTCTATGCAAAAGGAGGGTATTTTATATCAGCGAAGTTAACATGGTGTCATTTACAAAGGCAGTACACTGCCTGGAAATGCTTACCTGAAGAAGGCTCCAACAAGACAAGTGTCCACGAAAATGGTTCAGGCACGACAAACATCACGCATTAATTGAAAAACACAAAGCCTACACCAGTTAGACTTTAAGAAATAGTTACTGTATATGTTACCAGTTATTTGTGATGCTTAAATTAGTGTACCTTGAAGTTAAAATGCATATATTACCGAGCTTAAACACTTAGTCTTTCAGTGTACATACCATTACAACAGACGAATTAGTGCATATAAAATGACCAACACAGGGACTGGTTGACCTATAACTAAATAGCATATATATATATATATATATATATATATATATATATATATATATATATATATATATATATATATATATATATATATATATATATATACACACAAGTAAATCACTGTAGGTGCGCGTGATCAAAGTAAATGCTGATAACCACAAGGAAACAAGAAAACTATTTGTATTAACAAAAGGGGGCTTTCCATGCTACTTTGGATAAAGCAACGTCACTTGAAATACAGATCACCATCAGATTTTCATGGTACAGTATACTGTACTTCTTATACAATAATGGGTAGCCCTAGTGGAAGAGCAGCATTGGTGGGTAATGAATACCCTTGGTGGACAAATGATGTAACAATTCGTCAAGGGCAACGTATCGTGAGTAAATGAACCACACCTGTAATCTTATAAACTTATCTTTTGGTATCCTAATTTTGTACATTACATGGGGTAATTTGAAAATAAACCTTGGGGGCATATCATCCGCACATACCTTGCATTAAGAACGAGTTGCAAGACCGTAGCAGCTGCATAACAGGTGAAAATATGGACATGGCGTCTTCCTCTTCCTGGAGTAATTCCGAGGTTCCGTTTGCCTTAACAATCATATTGTTTACTTCAATAAACACTGTTGATAAGTCAGGTTTCATATGTGGATAACCAAAGTCTCGGTGAATCTTGAAATATCTCTGTCAAGATGGTAGGAGCCACCTACAACACACTCACCGTCTCCAAGCGTTTATTTACTACTAAAGTTGTCTGCTGCTAGTCGGACTAGGGGAGTCGGGGGTTGGCGCATATATACATGCGCATCAGCTGATATTTCATATATGCGCGCGCGCTGTCGCCACGACTAACAGGATGTCCCTTCATGATTTTATTAACCCAAATATCACCGGATACAGTCAGAATTCCACGTCGTCTTTTGACGTTAATTCTATGGTTATTATGACGGAAATTAATTAAATGTCACGATAAAGAATTATATCACCAAAACAATATAATTTTGAAGACACTGCAACAACACAACACTATGTCAATAAAGGTCATAAAATATAACTAAATGCCGGTGGAAGTTGTTTGGACACTCTTCCTAGTCCCCTTCGTCCCTGTTCACCTAGCAGCAAAGTAGGTACCTGCTGTAAGTCGAAAGTTGCGAATTCGTATTCAGGGACAAGTTGTTGGAACTTCCAATTTCTTGCATAAACCATTAACTCTTCAGGCTTCTACGCCCTCGACTGTTCAGGCTTCTACGCATGAACTTCGCATGCTTCCCTGTTGGGCTCTGTAAACGCTTCTGCGCTTCACCTTACACAAGGATGTAGGGGGTGCCCAATAAATGAAAAAAAATGCCCGAACGGTTAGTAAACTAATAAGTGGTGAAATGATAAATAATTAAGAATTAGAAATCGTACAGTTCAATCGGTAAGAAACGTATCCCTAACTATTATGTAATGACAGTGGTTCCAGTCCTAGTCGAGAACACGCTTGCGAGGGGCGTTATTTAGTGTGACCCTATTATTCAATGCAATTATCATACAAGTTTACAGTTGGGTGACATTGTATATAGACTATACAACATGTGTATAGAGCATACAGGTATACCGTGTATTAGACCGTGGAGGTGAGGTACAATATAGTTTCCGATGTATGCAGAACATGCTGAACCAATGTGAAATTGCATGGCGATTTCCACTAAGTATCTATTTACCCGTGTCTGTCTAATTATAAAACTATGGAGTCGGCATGAACATGGGTAAATACCGAATTCCATTTCCATCCATGTTTAACTTTCGATTAGGTAAAAGGGTAAATAATATTGTTTTTAGTCGAGGCAGGACAAGTACTTTGAGCATAATTGTATTGTATACAGGTGTTGCATTTCACCTCGTAAATTTGAAAGATTTTCTGAACTGCATTTCGTGTTTTTGGTTATATTTAGCTGCGGTAGTGATAACAATGAACTTCTGTCCAAGAAAACTTTTCTTTGTTCCTCAGACTCGATCATGGTTCCTCAGTCCTCACCACACCCCACATAAACTGAGGAAGATCAGCCCTTGGGTCACTCGGTCTATCTGCCGTCATATTCACTCCTTTATATTTCACGATACTCCCCTTTTTGTATCACCGTTTTAATTAACACCAATACGTCAAGTTAAGTAAACTAGGGTTCAAGATACTTTATTTCGGGGCTTTCCTTTTAGAGAAAGGTAAAGAATCGCCTTTTCTATTTTGATCCGGAAGAACTTTCAGATTTTCATGGTAAAATAATTTCCTTACAATAATTTTCCTTTTGCGGTATGCAAAAAATATATTGCTCTTGATTATACAGAATATTCAGACAAAATTCATAATATTCACATATTAATCGGAAACTGGCTCGCCTCCAACCATTGTCACCGGTTCAATTATAATCATAAAAACTCGGCCCAGTTGATTTTGTTATTTTGTAATAAATACCACTTTCTTATCCCCTTTCGCCATCTACCGGTTTTAACAAGCATGTTGGTGTCCCCGATTTTTGATGATATTGACAATAAGTGGAAAAAAATGGTTTTAGGACCACTCACCACACCCAACACATGCAGATGATAGTAGAATGATGGCAGATCATGGCAGGAAATTAATTTTCGCGGGAGCTTTTAAGTAAAAGTTGCGAAAACTGAAGGTCCCACCGAAAATTATATTCTATAGATACACTAATAAAGACAATTTAATCAGTAAAATATTTAAAATCTATATTATATTTATTTTAAACATTTACAAATAAATGTCTTACGAAAAAAAAAGTCTCAATTTCTTGCGCCGAGTAAGGAACACCACAAACTCCATATTTTATAATAGTTATATTTATTGCATTTTGATAGTTTCGTTTAGCTTGTAAAAATGTTACGCTGTTCCTCATTAAAATTTTGCTCTTTATTTAATAGCAAAACTAAAATGTATGCCGTACGCTTCTTCTTGGCACCAAATTCTCTTCACTGGGGCCTTGGTTGCGAGTGGAGAGAAATTGGTGTCAAGAACTTCAAGAAATAATGAGAAACTATACTGATGATGTTACTTTAATCAAACTATAACCCATATTCACATTATTTACCTAACGAGGGAAGGTGGCCTGTGTAGGATCCTTCCATTGGTCTTCATAATTATATTAAGGTTCATATCTTATAAAATTATCGTAAATATCTGATTTAATAGTGAAAAAATAGCATTTTATACATTCTTTAAGGTGTAAGTATGAGCAAGGTCTAAAGCATATTTTAAAAATCTGAATAGCGGCCGAAAGGTGAAGTAAAGGATTCTAAGTATTATAATATTATAATAATAAAGTATTATAATTGCATTATAATACTATAGTATCATAATACTATAATTTTATAGTAGTGTAATACTATAGTATTAGAATCCTTGGTGAAGTGAGGTGGTTCCCTTTTTTTTTCAGTGCAACTCCATCCAATGTTGTTACCTGTCCAGAATAACCCTAACTCCCGAAGTTGTTAAAAATATAGGTCGATAAATAAATTCATGGAGGCATATGTAGAACCACAAAAGTTTTCTTTATTGACCTCAGTGTGTTCTACTTCTTGTTATCGTCACAATACTAGGAAAATAATTTTGAAGGGGAGTTGCGCTGGTCAGGTAAAAAGTCGTACAAGGATGTGCTCAAAAACTGGTTTCTGTTGAGTAAGACACCCGTCCCGGGGAATTCTCTTAACAGATTAATCGAACTAAGTCTCTTGTTAATATATTAAATTTCATAAAGCAAATAGATTGTAGTGGATTCCTCCCCTACAAACGCTGTTTGTCGCCGAGTGGCCGACCCCGCGAATTCCCCAGTGTATGCCTCGTGGTCTAGGTCAACCAGCACTGCCTTACATGATGGAGGTCTACTATTAAGCCACGCCTACCTCCGCTATATAAGACCTGACCTCGTGGTGACCTACCTCTCTCTTTCTACCTACAGCCGCATCAAGTAACACCACCTCCTCCTCCTCCTGCCTGGCGGTCCTCGCTCCCGCCGGCGAGCATGGCGACCCAAAAGCTGATCCTCCTCTGAGCACCCTCACCAACCAGCTCTCTCTACATTACGCCTGTAACCACGCTGCCACTTCCCAGCACCAAGCTGCATTGTACATCCAATACAACATGTATACAGAAAGCGCATTGTGAGTTTTCTTCCTCCATCCCATCCTGAGTGTGAACACAAACACAAATTATACCCCACAAATGGTGACCCCGGAGATTCGCACTAACACAGGATGGAGGAGAAGCCGATCACTCTCCCAGTCTTCGAGCAACATGGAAGACTGGCTTATCCACACAGAGGCAGCTCTCATAGGCTCTACAGCTACTGTCTCTACACCGCAGGTTAGACACCCTAGAGCAGCTCTGCTACTCTAAGCAGACAGCCACTCCTATTCCTGCCCCAAGCACCACGTCCTACCGACCCCAACACACCCGTCCTGCCTCAGACGCCGCTCTCGGCCCAGCAGTACCCCCTGCCGCTCCTCCTGATGCAACCCCTGCTCCCGACGCGGCCCATGCGCCTAAGTGCGGACCCACACACCCCTCTTTTCTCCCTCAGGTACTCCCTGCTACTGTCCTGCACCCTGCTGCTGTCGTGGACCCAGCTGCTGTCACGAGCCCTCATCCGCTTCTGCTGATGCAGCCCCTGCTCCTGACCCAGGCCCACACACCCCAGCAAGTGCATCTGACGACTCTGTACCTGCCGTGAGGGAAGCACAACATTCATCGCCTCCACACACCCTTTTTCTCCCTCTCTACTCCCACAGATATTGTGTATCTAGACAGTTGTCTCCTCTAGCGGCCGGCTCATCCACGCCCTCGCCGTTATTGCTCACATGTGGCATGCACTGCCCGTTCTGCCTCACATGTGCCATGCATCCCTGCAGACAACAAGTCTCCTACAACGCCTGGAGGGAAGGGGGAGTATTGTAGTGGATTCCTCCCCTACAAACGCTGTTTGTCGCTGAGTAGCCGACCCCGCGAATTCCCCAGTGTATGCCTCGTGGTCTAGGTCAACCAGCACTGCCTTACATGATGGAGGTCTACTATTAAGCCACGCCTACCTCCGCTATATAAGACCTGACCTCGTGGTGACCTACCTCTCTCTTTCTTTCTTTCTTTCTACAGCCGCATCAAGTAACACCACCTCCTCCTCCTCCTGCCTGGCGGTCCTCGCTCCCGCCGGCGAGCATGGCGACCCAAAAGCTGGTCCTCCTCTGAGCACCCTCACCAACCAGCTCTCTCTACATTACGCCTGTAACCACGCTGCCACTTCCCAGCACCAAGCTGCATTGTACATCCAATACAACATGTATACAGAGAGCACATTGTGAGTTTCCTTTCTCCATCCCATCCTGAGTGTGAACCCAAACATCCCGTACCCCACAAGATCATCACTGACAAGTGTCACAAAAGTTTTCTAAAGACAGAAATTGTAATGGTAGTGAAAAAAAAAGAATTTCGTTTTGAGAAACTTGTAAAATAAATATTATGTTGATCCAGGACTTTGATTTATTTTTATACTACAGACGGTCAAGGAGGGACCTAATTGAGGTGTATAAACATCTCAAGGGGCACTACTCAGTCGAGTGTCCTTAACTGGAGCTGGCAGACGCTCGTCCCACAAGGAGTCACAGCTCAAGGTTGAAGAAGCCGCAAGTCCAGAAAACTATGAGGGGTAACTTTTTCGGAGTGAGAGTTGTTAACTCTTGGAACAATCTGCAAGAGAGTGCTGTGACAGGACCGAGTGTGAAC